CCCCCCCCCCCCCCCCCCCCCCCCCCCCCCCCCCCCCCCCCCCCCCCCCCCCCCCCCCCCCCCCCCCCCCCCCCCCCCCCCCCCCCCCCCCCCCCCCCCCCCCAAGTCAATTAAATAATAGTACCAAAAGATGTCACATTATGTACAGTAAACGCTATCAAGTTTTTAAACCTAGCAATATTATTTGTGTCTCATTCAAAAAGCGACTAGTGTTCTTGAATAATGATTTTATTTTGAGTTCTATAATTTTGCTAGTTATACTCAAAATAGTACCAAGTATATTCTCATAATTATCTTTGCAATAATACTATAATGAACTACAAATTTTATTGAGAGAAAAAACCTGTGTCATAAAAAAATACTCGGTCGAGCTCGAACTAGGTCATGAAAAAATGGCTCGTTCCGAGCCCTGATATATATATATATAAGTGAATTGCAAAATTATTGCACCATTCTGTGCAAAAATATGAACAAAACAAATATATTTTCAATTTTGAAAATGATGATTAGTGCAATTTATAGTATTGCATGACAGGAGAACATGAATAAATTCTTCTGACTATCGTTATTTAATTGCCCAAGGTACGGTAAACTCTTCAAAGTACTGTTGAAAAATTCAAGATCAGGTCACTTAGACAGTATACGTCTGCGTTGAGTTGTTCTACGGTATTTTATATTTTAACATTGAGACTATTTTTTTTTGTAATGATGACGTATATTTGATCTAGAATTAGTAGCTAAAGTGGCATGATCTATTCTAAATTATACATGACTTTTACACGTATACAAGGATAAAATTTCGAAATGTGCAGTCAATTAGAGAACGTTTATAACTAGTGATATTTTTCTGTCAATTTTTTAATTTGTGAGACAGAAACTAGAACTCATATTGCATGACTTCTGATAACTTCTCAAATGTATGAGTCAACTAATACATTTTGCATCTACTTGGGTTTTCGTTGTGATGGCAGTATATGGATGAATTGAAAAATTATTGTACCAATATGTTCTTAGATGTAAAAGTTCAATATCGTCAGTTCCTCTCAAACAATTCTCATGATTTTTTTCAATGTATACCTCTGTATTCAGTCCCCACTACCACATAGAAAATCGCAAATTTATCTCAAATTATTCTCGAGATATTGAACTTACAGGGTTAAAAACATCGATCTTTACTGTCACCTATCAACAAAAAATGACCTGTAACCGATTTGTACTCTTGTCGTTTGAACTTCGGAAGCTCGCGATATTATAGTACGTAGTCTGTACCTTTTGGATATGAAACTGACTGGTTCCTTCATCACAGTTCATATTACACTTTTTCCGAATATCAGATGTACACTCAATCCTGGACTTCTTGTCACACGAGATTAAAAATGATCTGCACATGTAACGACACATCCAAACTGACTAGGTTGGTGTTGAATAAAAGTCGAGTAATGGGCAATAAAATCGTCACAGATGGCGAGAAAGTTTTACTAATCACTGTTAACAAAAAATATAAAATAAAGCTAGAAAAAATCGATGGTTGCACTTAATGTCACGCGAGATTTCTTTTTTTTCCTTCACTTGACATGTAACTCTTCGAAAATATGGCAGATTGAGCTAAAACTTGCATGGTTTTATTCATTCTTTATGGTCAACTATTGATCAAAATATCAGGATCAGAAAGTTTGTTTCTCATGAAAAAGAGAAAAAATACTGTTAAAATGTCACGCGAGATTATTATGTGAATAACTACCTCGCAAGTACGATCGAAGTAAATAAATTATATATTATTTATTTTCATATTTGTAGGACTATCAGAACTCACCAGAATCAACTCCAGTTTTTGTCTAACAGGTTAATGAATTCACAGAAAAAAGTTGGTAATTATATATATTCTCTAAATGTTCGCATATTTTCAGATTTTGTCGCTGTATTACTGTATAATCAAAATATAATTTTGGGAAATCACGCTGTCTTGGACGCTAATTTTAAATTAAACATGATTACTCATTGCAAAGAGAAGACTCCACGTTAAAGCCTAAAATAACATCGAAAAATTAAACTGATCCATGCACTATCACAGTCACTTAACCTTGAATTTTTATACAGCATTTTTAAAAAATTCTTATATCTTGGCCAACCCAATAGTGGTAGTCCGGAAAATTTATTTATAATATCCTCTCGTGTAGTATACTATAGAATGTACTATTCCCCGGTTTTCAAATCAAAAATTTTTTTTCGTCCATGTGTTTCACAGAACGGTACACTAATTTTGCAATTCATCCATATACATAATAATCTCACGTGACATATTGACATTAATTTTTCTTGTTTCTATGAGCTGTACGTTTTGTGGATTTGAAGTTTTAAATGATCGATAACCACAGTACATAGAGACAATGATTAAAATTTCATCTCATACTGTCATGTCTAAAGAGACTTATGCGTCAAAAAGGTAAAACATAATTGATTCTACTTATGATATTCAGAAAAAAAATTCAATAAGAAACGCGTTGAAACAACCAACCAGTTTTATATCCGAGAAGTATAAATTGTTTATTGTAATATTGCAAATTTCCGAAATTCAAATAACAATAGAACCAATCCATTATATGGCATTGTTTTTCTGATAAATGCTAGTAAAAATTAGAGTACTTAACGTTGAGCGTATCCTATATTTCGAAATTCGTTCGAGATAAATTTGTGATTTTGTTTCTTTTTTTGTGTGGTAGTGTAAACTTCTTAGAGGGACATAACGTGAAAAACTCATACCGATTGATTGAGTAGAACTTCATTTGTTGAAATTTTACATATAAGAATATAATGACACAATGTATTTTAAATTCATTCGTATCTATCGATTATGGGAATTTTTGAAATCATTTATGTCTTACTGAAATTTCGATAGGTTTGTTTTCGTAAATCTGTATATTTTTATTTATGAATGAATGGTCTAGTTTAGAGAATTTCTGAAGTTGCTTTTCTATTAGAGAAATTTTCGAAATTTTGTTGTGCAAAATCTACGAATTGCTGAAAAGGACAATGAAGTTATATGTTAAAATCAACCTACCAATATTCTTGCACAGAACATTTTGAAGTCTTCTGTTGTTAATTGTTCTATGTTGAGATCTTTTATTGGTACACCATTTTCCATCAGCAAATTCATGAAAGGTACATTGTCTCGACACAAAGTTTCATAGAGTGATGCCGGTGCTACTTTTTTTATCTAACAAAAAGAAAAATATTCATATTAGACAACAGAATTGAAGATAAATAAGGAGTAAAATTATAGAATTTCACTTTAGAAAATTATTAAATTGCGTTTTGAATTACTCAAGAATTGTTCAAAATAGGCTTTTAATTTTGAATATCTAAATTTACTGAAAGTTGTCTATGAGACTGCATAACATTTGTTTGCATCAAATTATTCGATTCCACGTATCGATTTGATATTGAAGTAAATAACGAGTTCAATGTGCTTAAGATTCATTGATATACAGTAAAACCTTCCGTAGTAAAGAATTAACGATCCGGTCAAGTTATTTCTTCTGAAATTCAATCTCTCTATAATAGAAACTCTTGTAAGATGAATATTTTTTTTGTGGATATATTTGAACAAATATTTTCTATCTTTTTATCGATCAGATATATTACAAGTACTTGGAAAACAAAATACACTGCCTGCGTTAAATAGAGTCAAATCTCTCATAGTGAACAGTATCGAGGAACTGAAAGGGTATTTCAAACTACGTATAAATGTATTGTAACTTTTTGGTACAAACAATACCAAAAATGAAAGTAAACCTAAATTACTTTTGAGTAGAACATTTTATAATATTCTATGACTATGTGAAGGGAGGATAAAAGTTTCTTAACAGTTCACTAATTGCTAAGAGAAATAAATGTTGTAGAATTTAATTGCCGCTTAATTACATTATGAAATTGAATTTACTAATTAAACAAGTTCGAATCATTTTTCAGTTGTGTATGAATGATAGAAAGTCAGAAAGATCAAAATAAACTTGAATTTGCTTGTCATATTCTATTCATTTAAAGTTATACTACGTAGAAAAGACTATTTTTAAATGAGTTGGACCTGAAAATATCTCCAGACAAATCGTTATTCTACCTTTTTGTGTACTCAAAAAGTGAGTACACTACTAAAATCGGTCAGTGTGTCCGGCCGTCCGTTTATTCGATAACTCTTCGCAATTACATTCGATTGAGCTGAAATTTTGTGCACAGAATTCTCTCATCAATATCTAGGTCGAGTTCGAAGATGAGAAGGATCCGTCAAGAAATGACTCAGTTATCGAAAAAACTGTAATTTTTGATCAGACCATCCCTGAGGGAATACAGGGATTTTTGAAAAAAACGTTTTTCTCAGAATTATCCACAACATATATAAATCGACTCAGTTTTTAACGCTGATTCTGAATCTGATATTAGTTTTGAAAAAATCGTAGTTTTCTAACGAAACATTGACTGGAAAAGGTCTCAAAATACACAAAAACTGCATCTAGAAACCAAATTGCCTAGATATGTCTCAGATGACAAAGTGAATCGTCCTTTTCACTTTTTGAAGTACACATAACACTCGGATTTAAATCCGAGGTTTTCGCATTTATTTTTTAATATAATGGAAATTTCTCCTCAACAGAAGAAAATTACGAGCTAAGATTTTTATCCATTATAGAACATGATGTTTTATACCTACTCTGAAAATTTGAGCCAAATTAAACGACTTATTGAACAGTTATAAAGCAATCAATTTTCGAAACGTCCTTCAACAAAGCGAGTATATCACGGTCTTTTCCTATAAAGTGTTGTATTTTTATCCAGAAACAAAGCTGATAGCAAAGAGTTTTATCTCATCAGCTTGCTGATTAAAGGCTTGTCTTTCTTTCCGTATAGTCTACGTTTCACTATCTTTATCACTGATAGTAATATAATTAACCTTCTATCATGTTACACAAAAATATAAAGCGTCTGTCAAACAATGTGTACGGTGAACGAAGGACAGAACAAAGCATAGCATTTTAACCAATTATATACTGTGATAAAGCGTCAATTACTGTACAAAACAGCCTAATTATATACTAGTTTCATAGTCGAAAAGTTCATTTTTCTTTTCATGTGTAAGAAAAATCTAACGACTTTTTACGTATGCGAAGTTAGTATTGAATTCGAGTAAAAGTTGCCCATATTCGCCTGAGGACTTGTTCTAACTATCCTATTCATGTTTACAAATACAACTTGACCAACACTATCCAATATAATAAGATTTTTTTACATCTCAAGCTGTTCTCTATGAAATCTCAGAAACCTGAAAATTTCACGTAGGACTTAGAAAAATCACTCTCTAAAATCTGCCTATATTGTATTGACAGTATTTTTCAAGTAGAATTCGATGAGCTCTATCCAGTGCTATGCTCAGATTTTCGATAGGTCAAAGTTGGATTTTCAGGTTTTTCTCTATCGCCATTTATAGTTCGAAAACCAAACTTTGAGCTAATGGAGATCTGAACACACCACTAGATAGAGCTCATCGAGTTCTACTTGTAACATACTGTCAAGCGAATATGTTCAGGTTTTATAGCATAGTTTTCCAAAGTCCTATGAAAAAATTTCAGTTTTGGGGATTTTCCGGAGAACAGCTTGAGATGTGAAAAATTTGATTATACCATTGAATGGTGCCTATCAGGTTGTAGTTGTAAGCATGAATAGGAGTATGGGAACAAGTCCTTATGCGAATATGGACAACTTTTACTCGAATTCAGTGCTCACTTCACCTATATCGACTTTTTTAAATTGTATGTCTCTTATAACTCAGTCATGATATGAGTGGTAGTGCTGAAATTCTATGTGGCACTAGAAAAGAAAATAATATATCTAAAAAATTGTTCAAATTAGTCGAGAGAAACAGAATTGAGTAGGTAAATAAAGTTAAAAAGTCAATAGCACTAAAAAGCTGCAAGTCACTCATCTATAGTTTGAAATGATTTTTTTGAAAAAGGTTCGTATTGTTGCATTATTCAACAACATGCTGAATAAACGTTTTCAAAGGCGAGTCAAACTAAAGTGCCCAGGGCGAGAAACCAGACGGCAAGATCTTACAAGAATCGTACGTTTGATCATATCTGATCCGGTAAGATCAAACGAAAAATCGTATGCAAAATCGTCGTCTCTGATTTCTTACACTAAGTCGTATTAGAAGATTCCTGAAAGGTTGTGTTACCTATAGAAATATCACTGTGATATTTTAATTAAACTAATATCTCCTTCAAATATCACTACAAATTTGTATTGAAAATAAATTGCATGTGCGATCTTTAAAGCAAATATAGTATGACTTGATGCAAGATTTCAGAGACGACGATTGTTTGTCTGATGCTTATAAAATTTATTTCGGATTGTAAGATCTGACATCCGGATTGCAAGATCTTACGTCAGATTTTTCGACCTGTGTGCTCTCTGCTACCCAGATCAAACAATCAGACTGTAAGGTCTTACACGATACCCACAAGATCATATCAGATCTTGTACGATCTCATCTGAAAATCTTAAAGCCAAACTTTCTGATAAAATCGTACAGTAAGATTCTTGTATGATCATACTATATGATCTTGTTATATACGATCATGCAAGAAATTATAAAAGTGGTTCGAATCTACTCTAGTGCACAGCGCATTTTTGTTTTCAGTTAAAGATAATTATAATATTTTTTAAATATTTTTTTCATTAAATTATTCAAATTCTGAACGCTCTGCCATGGCAGATCATGAGATCTGTCTGGCCTCGAGTTGATTCGATACTCGTCAGACCTACTCGGATAGTTCTATCAGCCATCGACAGAGATCGATATGACTTTCATTAAAAAGATAATGAAGAAATAATCTCAAATAAATCATATGAAAATATGTAAGCTTCTTGCGTTCGATGAGATAGCTTATTTTTATCGTAGCGTGCAAAATAAAGTGTCCAGGTCGAGCAATCAGATAGTAATATCAGTCATGGACTCTTGCATGATCGTATGGGATCTTACGCCAGAATCGTATATGTTCATATAAGATCATACAAAAAATCGTCGTCTCTGAAATCTTACATCACGTCATAAGATCAGATTCTTGAAAGATCTTACTGTATCGTAATATATGACTCTAAGATTATAGAAAATCTTACTAAATAGTAAGATCTTTCAAGCGTCTTATTGTAAGACTTAATGTAAGATTTCAGATGCGACGATTTTTTGTACGATCCTATCTGGTTTCGCAAGGTCTTACATTTTATTTTTCGATCTGGGAATGGACTGATCGACAATATTATAGGATCATACAAGATATTGATCTTCCGATGATGTAAGAATCTTATAGTAAGATATTTTTAGGATTTCATCTGATCGTACAGTATAAATCTTACAAAATATGATTGTTGGTATGGCCTTATAAGATCTTGTATGATTTTTTCGCCTGGGTACTTGTTTAACTCTGATGTGTGAAAAATACTGCAGTTGAATATTATTTTAACTGCTAACCATTATTTCTAGGTTGTGATATGGAATGATACATAAAACGAGAGACCAATGCATTCAGGATAGTCTTCTAAATTATAAACACAATCCTGATTGCTGAAAATGTGTGCTGCTGTCTTTTGATACGACAGTACATTGCCAATCATCAGAAATCTCTACAATGAATACTACAGTATCGTGAAAACATTTCAAAGGTCCCAAGGGTGTCCACTCTCGAGAGACTTCATTGTATCGTCAAATTTTTTTTCTGACAAAATCTAATTAATCAGACCAAAATAGAAGCAATTCGTCATTTTCTTTTTTCTGTCAATGACACATTTCACTTTGATTTATGTATTATTCCATATCACAACCTAGANGTTATCCAGTTATCTCGGCAAAGAAGTCGAATTTCGAAAAAACGGTATGTACATTTCTAGATATAGGTTTCTTCTTTTATTTAAAAAAAAAGTAGCTCGCTAGCTCTTCTGCAGTCTGAGAAATCGGTTCCGAACTCTCCAAAAAAGTGATTTTGAGAAAACCAATCAACAAGTTTATATGAAACAATTTTAATTTCACTATGACTGTCACGACCTCTATACGACAATTTCGTCTTGTATTCAGCATTTTAAGCAGAAATGACTATGTTCCTCTAATTAATTAATATAACAGAACGTATATGTAGTCTTTCATTAATAAAAATCTACAAGTTTGTTCACCACTGTCACATCTACGTAACTAAGAAAAGTTCTGATAAAACGCTATATTTCTACTAGTGCTCCCAGAAAACCGCTGTTTTAACCGTTCACAACCATTCAAAGTGCAACAAATCGTACATAATCTGCAAGAGGACACATTGGGCTTTCAGTATATGTGCTTATCTCAAAATCGATTTTTCTGAAAAAAAATCGATTTTCTGAGGGGTGGAGCCCCTTAAAGAAATACATATGTAATAGATTCGAGGTTTTGTTTTTTTCATGCATATCGAAATTTCGATCAATTTCGATTTGAACTTACGAACTCTTGTATTGTGTGTGAAGTTGATATATTTTCAAAAATATGAGTAGCAAACACATTTTGTCTCGCATGATCAACTTTGTCCCAAACCTAAAAAATTTGTTTTTGTTAGACATTAACCATTAATTTTCTATTAGATCCAAAGAAAAAGTCTTACCAAACACCATTTCAATTCCATAGCTAACGATTTATACTTGCTACTGGCATTTTTTTCACGTCGAAAATATATTCTCTTTAATATTGCAGCAGCAATCGCATCCTTCAAGTTCCCGTTAGCTCCAGCGGGATCAAATACAACAATGAGTTGATTATTGTGGGCAAGGGCAGTTATGTCTCGTTCAATATCATCATGTGGATTTGTCTCATGAAATTCTTTTAAAGATTTCATCCTCGCCAATCTTAATCTGAAAACAGAAACCTCGGCCCAACGATCTCTTTTCCAATCATCCACATTAAACTTAAGTTTTCCTCCATTTGAAGTTGAAAATTTAGCGGCACTAGCAATAATGTCAGCAACAATGTCAGCAATTCCACCAGTGCCCTACAACGAACAAGTTTATCAAATAAGAAAATGATAAAATAATTGACATTTTGAGATCATGATCTGACAAAAATAGGACTCAAACAGGCTTTCTATATATATGGCGCGATCAACTGGCAGGATACCCCAACACTCATTTGTTTATGTAATTTCAACCACTTCTCAGAAACATGCGATTTTTTTTTGCCAAT